CACGTGTTTTTCTTGTACTTTTGTTCAATCTGTCAAATTTAGACCTCTTGTTCCCCCACCGTAGGATGTGCTTTCTGTCTCCCTACCTTCATATCTTGTCACATGGCTCATTTTGTCTAGAGTGTCTTCCCATGAACCCATCTCCATCTGTCAAAATCCCATATCCTTTAAAACGTACCCTTAGGGGCTGGTTCCATTGGTAAAAGCCTGCCACACAAGCTTGAGAACCTGAGTTTGGATTCTCAGCACATGTGTATAAGCTCAGCAGGGTAGTGCATGGCTGTAACTTGAGGAGAGAGGGCAGAGACCAGAGGATCCTTGAAGCTCATGGGCCAGTTAGCCTAGCTGAATTAATGAGCTCTAGGTTCAATGAGAGAGCCTTCTCAAAAAATAAGGTGGGGTGCAACAGAGGAAGGCCTCTGACCATTAGACTTCTGGTCTGTACATGCATGTGTATACATGTGTATGCATATCTGCATGCAGAGGTAGACACACCCACACAAACATGAATATACAACACTGTCCTAGTTTGTTTCTCCATTGCTGTGACAAAATACTCGGACCAGTACAAACTTGGGGAGGAAAGGGTTTATTTTATTTTACATCTCTCGGGTCACAGTTCATCAGGGAGCCCAAGGTAGGAACTCAGGGCAGGAACCTGAAGGCAGAAGCTGAAGCACAGGCCATGGAGGAACGCTGCTTACTGGCTTGCTCTCTGGCCTTTGCTCAGCCTGCTTTCTTATGCAACGCAGGCCCACCTGCCCAGGGGTGGCACCACCCACAGTGGGCTGGGCCCTCCCACATCACTTATCAAGGAGATGCCCCACAGACCTGGCCATAAGCCAGTTCAATGGAGGCAGTTCTCTAATTGAGGGCCCCTCAACCCAGGTATGTCAAGTTGACGCTAAAGCTATCCAGCACACACACACACACACACACACACACACACACACACACACAGAATAAATAAAACTTACGTCTACTGTCAGTTCTTTAAACTGAGTATGACCTGACCCACAGAGAGAGAATAAATAAAACTTACGTCTAGTGTCAGTTCTTTAAACTGAGTATGACCTGACCTCTCCCTCCCAGGAGGCCTTGGGCTTCCTGACCAGAACAGAGTCAGTGATTTGGAAGGGACAGTTACTCTGTCTCACTCTCATTCCCCTTCCCATGGCTTCTAGGTCTTCAGGGATGAAAACCAGGGCAAGACCTTGCTGCTTCTGCCCCACGCCTCCATGTCTTGCACAGAGCAATCATTCAGTTGATGGCCTATTGAGTTAAACAGTGGTTACTCTGGGCCACCAGCCTCTGATTGTCTCTTTCCTTTCCCATGGCAAATTGCAGCATTCAGCTCCCAGCAACTCCTGGTCCACGGCCCCGAGGTTCCTGGCAGGCCTTTCCTAAAGGACCATGGGGCTGCTGTTCCCAGATGGCCAGGCCTGCACAGGCCCAAGCTGAGTCCCAAGGAAATGGAGACCTTCTAACTCCTTGCACTCCTTGGCTCCTGTTTCCAGCTGCCTTGTACTTGTTTTCCTTGGCACAGGGAAATCCTCAGTCATCATCTCTTCCATTTATAGGCATATATGCATCTTTGTTATTCTTTTCACAAAACTGACAGTGACCTTGGCTTAGAAAAGGAGGAAAGAAGGGAGGTGGAGGCATTTCATGTAAGACCCCTGGGGTTTCCTGCAGTATTCTACCCACCCTGGAGAACTGAAGACACTCTTTCTGCCCTTTCTGCTCTCTCCTCCATACCTCTGCCTATGCACCAGCTCCTCAGACTTTATTAAAGGGCTACCTACCGTGGGCAAAAGAAAGATGAGATGTAGACAACAAACATGGCTGCGATTCTTGCTACCAAGGAAAGAACGGGGTGTGGCTGCCTGGCTCGAGTCATGTCCATATCATCCTGGCATTCTTAATCTGGGGCCAAAATACTCTGTGGCAACTGCTAAATTCTGGGAATGAGGGGCTGTAATCAGTCACGCTATACCTACATGCCAAATAAGGGCTAGTAGTGGTAATCATCATGCAGTTCTGTCTCTGTCTCTCTCTCTCTCTGCCAGCCAGTATTTTAAGCAGTTTGTGAATACCACCAGTTCATATGTTCCTCACAATTACCCTATAAAACAGTGCTATTATTACCCCAATTCACAGATGAACAAACCAAGGCAGAAGAGGTTAAATAACTTTCCCTTTGTCACATTGGTGGTCAGTAGCATAGCCTGGCTCTGGGACCTAGAGGCCCAGTTTCTGAGTCTGCCAGTCGATGCTACCTTTGTTGCTCATCCAGTTAAGAGGTTGAAATAACGAACAGGGTCACCTAGTCCTCTATACGTGTCTGAGTGAGCTGGAAAGGGCAGTGTTTCTGAGAGTTGTGGGAAAGTGCCTGGGCACGTCTGAGGCAGTTCTCGGCACAGGTAATTTAATTTGGTTCAAATTCTGACTTTCCCACAGATTTCTGTTTCTCAGTCTAGCTTTGTGTGCCTATTTGGAAGGACGGATTAGCAAAGGGATTTACTGGGGTTTCCAAGAGCAACCTGCTTTCCTTGGCTCCAATCCCTGGCCTGGGAATTCACTAAATAGCCAATTAATTCATTTTCTTCTCTTCATTCATTATCAAACTTTGATTCTACCTCTTGTGTGTGCAGGGCACCTTATGTGTGCCAGGTGGGTGTGTGGAGAAAAGCAAAGCTAAATAAAGCAGGCCTTGCCTCTCTCTACTTTGAAGCAATGGTTAATGTGTCCCTGTATACACTGCCACCAAACCTGGGAACCTAGGCTGGGTGTGGTGACACACACCTATAATCCAAGCACTCTGGAGGCAGAGGCAGGAGGACTAGGAGTTTAAAGTCACTCTTGGCTTATATAGAGTCTAAGGCTATCCTGACCTACTTGAGATCCTTTCTTAAAAAAATAAGAACAGGGCTGGTGAGATGGCTCAGCTGGTAAAGGTGCTTGCCACCAAGCTTGATGACCTGAGTTTCATCCCTGGGACCCATATGATGGAAGGAGAGAACCAATTCCCAAAAGTTGTCCTCTAACTTCCACATGTGCCCCATGATGTATGCACATGCATGCACACACAAATAAATGAAATAAAAATTAAAAACAAAAACACCAAACCAAATCAACCAAACCAAACACTCCTGAAAAACCAACAAAAAACTCTGGGAGCCCCACTGCCTGTCTCTATGCTCTTTGGGAAGATTTTTAATATTCTGGAAGATTGCATGTGGTATGCTTCAGTGGTTTCATGAGTCTAGAGTGCACACACTAACAGGTTTTCAGGGTCACTGGAACCCAGATGTTCTCACAGGCCAGTGAGTCTAGAGAGAATGGGAGATTCTGCCTCAGGCTGCATGGCACCCAGATTACCTGAGTCAGGATGCCTAGAGTCACCATACAAATGATCATATACTTGCTGTAATTCTCTGGAGAATAACTGAGCTCTAGAGGCCACTCCTCAGTGGTCTTAAATCCAGGTGTCAGTGGGTTAGCTCCTCTTCTGGGGGACTCTCCTAGCTGCCGATGACTCCCAGTAGTCCCTGGTGGTCCTTCATTTATGCATGCATGACTCCAATCTCTGCTTCATCTCTTCATGGCCTTTGCTCTGTGTCTCAAAATTTCTCCGTTTTTTTTTTTCTTCTAAGTACACCAGTCACTGAATTTGAAGTACCACTCTAAATATAAGGAACTATCGTATTGAGATCCCTGATTGCATCTGCAATGACCCTATTTCCAAATAAGGCCATTTCACAGGGTGGGTTTTAGAATATGGGCTTATTTTGGGGGGGTAGGGTCGGGGGTGGAAGCCACCCCACTACACAGACTTCTAATTCTTCTCAACTCAATGTTCCTGAAAATTACTTCCAATTTAGCAGTATTTTCATAAATAATAAAGTCTATTTGCCTATTTGCATTTTAAGGTAGTAATCATTTATGTGTTCTGTATGCACATACACATAAGGATAAAGAATGTTTTTGGTCTAGAAAAATTTTCACAGTGGAATGCAAGTGCCTGTATTTTATCAGTGTTCCAGGCTGCAACTCAAATGGTTCAAACAAACAAAACCAAAAAACAAATGAGTAAAAGAAGTTAATCACAGTATTATTAGCAAAAACAATGTGTCCTTCTGTAAGAAACAGTATATTTTAAAATGAAATGGAGATCTTTTTTAAAGGTTAAAAACTCATTCAATTTTATATCTTACAGGGTTTACACTGAGTTCAATATTGTATAACTGTATTAATTCAACAGTGAACCTGAAAATTTATAGCTACTTTTGAAAGAGATGTATCTTTGCTCTGGAAATGGTTATTGAGTATGTTAAAGCTGTAATGAAATTCTTCTTCTAAAAAATAAATAAATATACATATATTAAAAAAAGTTAATGAAGAACTATTTATAAGACTGCACACAGATGTAAAGAAAGTGATAAGAAGTTGGGCGTGGTGGCACATGCCTTTAGTCCCAGCACTCGGGAGGCAGAGACAGGTGGATTTCTGGGAGCTCAAGGCCAGCCTGGTCTACATAGTGAGTTCCAGGCCAGCTGGGGCTATAGGGAGACCCTGTCTCAAAAAAAAAAAAAAAAAAAAAAAAGAAAGTGGTAAGAAATTCTGAGGCCTAGAAACAATGTCAAGTTGTTAACACTGAGGCCTTGGGAAGGAAATGGATGTTTATTTCCAGAATCACAATGAAATTTGGAATTGTAGAGAAAGGCTCTCCCTGATTTTAAAGGGGCAGACATAGCATAAAATATTACCCAAAGCAAGGAAAGAGTAAGAAAGATACCCTGGGCCTCTCTCCTCCGAATTTCTTGGCTCTTACTGGTAGCTTTTAATTGACCAAACTCAAACAGAATGAGTTGCAGAAATGCCTAGAGTCTGCAGAGGTCGGTCCTGGGAGTGTCATGGGCCAGGAATTGCAGCAATGGGCCTGCAGAGGACTAATCCGCAGACGTCTGTATATGGACTAAGTAAGTCTGTGCATGTATTTGCTTGGGCAGCACATATATGCAATTTAAAGCAGTACAGACAGGATCAGCACAGCCCCTGCACATGGATGACACATAAATTCTCTAAGTATTCCATATTTTAAAAAGTTTGCTTTACATAGGAAGATATGGAAACAGAAGTGGGCTAGTGTGTAGAGATAAACTGACATTTCAATTTCTAGATGAGGAACTGGTTCCAATGAAGTGTCTACATGTCTACATATCTTGCCTAGATATGATTTTCTGTCATCCTCTAGAAGTCCAGGTAGGTTGGGTAGAATGGCTACTAAGCACTTTAAAATCCTGAGGCTCATTTTAAACTTGAGAGTCCACTTTGTATCTGTAGCAGATAGTTAACTAGGTTTCTTTACATTATCCATTTTCCCTTGCTTCTTCAAGAAGGCCTTCAATTTTATTTGGGAATTCAAATGACTCAGGGATGGTCCTTTTGATGATGGCTCAGTATGGGAAGCTGTAATGACTAATACTGATTTTGCACTTAACAGGGTTTGGAATCACCTAAGAAACAACCTTCTAGATAAATCCAAGAAGGATTTAGATTCAATTAGCCTCTGGGCATGCCTGTGAGGGATTATTTTAATTGGGTTAATTGAGGTAGGAAGGCCTACCTTAAAAAGATGGTGGCACCACTCCCTGGGCTTGAGTCCTGGGCTGCACCATAATTTATCATGAGTCTCTGTCAGTGCAATGTGACCAGCTGTCTCAAGCTGCTGCCACCAGGACTTCTCTGCAATGATAGTGTATTCTTGAGCCAGAATAAAGGTTTTCATTTTTATTTTATTATTTTTTATTTATTTTTAATTTTTTTATGGAAGGACGAGTTTATTTGGCTTGTAGTACCAGAAGGGTAAGGGTCCATCATGGTGAGGAGGCATGGCAATAGAGGTGGCCAGAGCAGAAAGCTGAGGACTCACATCTTCAAACAGACACAGGAAGCAGAGAGAGACAAAGTGGAAGTGGGCAAGCTAGATACTCTCAAAGCCCAACCCCTCAGTGATATGCTTCCTCCAGCACGACCACACTTCCTACAGGTTCCATGACCTTCCCCTAACAGTGTCACAAACTGGGGTCCAAGTGTTCAAATACTTGGAGCCTATGGGGGACACTCATTCAAATCACCATACCTTCCTAGGAAACAAAAGACGAGGAGGGAAAGACAGAAAGGAGGAAAGAGGAAGGGAGAGAAAATAGAGTGAGAAGGAGAAAAGCGAAGTAGGGAGTGAAAAGGAAAATGACAGCCTTCTTGGATACAGGAAGCTACAGATGACTCCAGAGCTGAGCTGTTGCAGGAGTGCAAACCTGGCCTCAGTCATAGATCACTGGCATGTGGAGCACATCATATGTCACTTTAAATTGCTTTTTTCAGAGTATTTTACCCCAGCAACAGGAAAAGTAACAGAGACAGAAGCTAAGTCTAAAAGCTTATCCAGTCATAATAATGATTACCTCTTGGTCAAGTCCCAGTGAACCTCAAGATGTTGCTGGGAGCCCTGGAGCAAGGCTGCTTCTACAGTCCTCCCAGATTCCAATGACGAGTTCGTGATCACAGAGCTCCTATAGCGATTTTATTTTAATGTCTTTTTTTTGTTTGTTTTCGTTCAGTGTTTTCTGGTTGTTGTTTTTGAGATAGGTCCCATTATGTGGCCCAGGTTGGCCTGCGGTTCACTACATAGCCAGGTCTACCCTTGGACTCTCAATCCTCCTGCCTCTGCTACTCAAGTGCTGGGATTATAGGACTGTATCACCGTATATGGCTTACAGTCATTTTAAGAACAGTAGTGACTGAGTGCTAAGATAAAGTAAAAAAGTTTGAGAATAGAGGTAGAGAAAAAGTCCTGAGTGAAACTATGTAGCCCCAGCTTGCCTGGAATGTGCACTGTAGGCCAGGCTGGCCTTGATCTCACAGAGATCTGCCTGCCTCTGCCTCCCAAGTGCTGGCATGAAAGTCATGCTCCACTGCACCTGGCCCTTTCATTTTTTTAAATCAGGTGACTCAATAACCCTTTTGAAAGTCTGAGCTCCTTGAGCCTGCCTTTCTGGAAAGAGGCAGCAGGTAGATGTGTTTGCCCTCTGGCATGTGCTTCTCTGAACATGAATGGATCATGGAGCCTCTCAGGTGATTTTCACAAATGCAGGTGGAGTAGAGGAAATTAAAAAGCAGTAGGAAAAGTTACTTCTTTTTGTGTGCTTTATTTTTTTCTTCTAGAGAACACAAGTTCATCATCATGGCTGCCAGAACCCATTGGTGATTATATCAGGTTATACAGACAATCTTCCCAACATCCACACCCCACAGAACCAGAGTGCAATAGAGGGGGTATATTAGCTATTTTTCTCATTGCTGTGATAAAATACCAGACAAAAGCAACTTAAGGTGGGAAGGTTTTACTTTGGCTCATACTTTTGAGGGTCATGGCAGGGAAGGCATTGTGGCAGAAGACTGAGGCAGTTGATCACATTGTGTCCACAGACAGGAAATAGAAAGTGATGATGTTGATTCTTCAGCTCACTTTCTGGTTTATATTCAGCTTGCCCCCCCGCCCACCCATGGGATAGTGCTGCCCACATTCAGGGTGGGTCTTCTCTCCTCTTAAATCTCTTTGGAAAAAACCCCAAGGTTTGTCTCCTAGGTGATTCTAAATCCTGTCAAGTTGCTAATGAAGATTGCCTATTTGCATTTCACTAGCTGATTTCCTTTACCTTACTATCTTTGAAGAAGCAATCTCTCTCTCTCTCTCTCTCTCTCTCTCTCTCTCTCTCTCTCTCTCTCTCTCTCTCCTCTCTTTCTTTCTCTCGGAGACAGAGATCCCTCCAAGGAAGGGTTAGAGTGTTGAAATGAAGGCTGTGAGGAGAGGATGATAATGGGCAGAGTCGCTTCAGTGAAGATGCCAGACATGAGTTAGGAGAGGGAGAAATTACTCAGGGATTTCTTCTGCTCTATAGAAAGATAAATCAAGGCTTAGGGGTGGGATCCTGATCAGTTTCACCCCAACAACTCAGCAGCTACAGAGGTCTGAGCTCTAAAGCTTCAGCTTGCTAGCCTGGCCCCACTTTCTAGATGATATCCCTGCCTCCTCCCAAGTTCCATGAACTGGGAGCCCTGGAACTATAGCAAACGCTTTGGAGAAAGTTGTGCAAACAGCATTCGAGGTAGACAGGTCTGGTCTCTTAAGATGCCATTTCTGGACTATGTTGAGGCTCACTCTGGGCCCAAGTATTTTCCAAAGCCAAGTGACAGGCATCAAGAGCCTCTCAGAGCTCCCCGTCGGGGAGTGTGGAAGCACCGGTGGCAGGGTGTGAGGGCTGAGTGTGACCATGAGAACATGTGTCTAAAAGACTGGAGCAGTGAGCAGTGTGGACCAACATTGGGTCAACCCCTCAAGTTCCTGATAAGGCTTAGACGGGATGGCAGGGCTGAGTTGCTTCACCCTAAGAAGAGCCCTTCTCTTTCATTGTTGGATTGAAAAGAGCAGGGGTGACAGAGTCCTCAGGAAGGGCTGGGCACCTGGAGGGAGGGCTCCAGGTCAGGACTATAGGATGGCAGTAGTGAGGTGCACAGGAAAAGATTTGGGCAATGGTGTCAGGAAACTTGTAAAATTTGAACCCTAGAAAGGATTTTTAGAGAGATTATTCCTGGATTCCTTAGTTCAGAGGAGAGGAGATTGACTGATTCCCAGAGAGGAGAAAACATTGCCTAAGTATTCATTTTAAGTCATTGGTAGAGTTGAGGATAGTTCTCAGGTCTTTTAACTTCCAGATGGAATGTATTAGTTATGTATTTAAGTTTAAAAAATTACGCCTGAAATGAATGACTTAAAACCACAAATTCATATTGTTTCATAGTTTCTGTGGGTCAGGAAAATGAGTGTGTTTTGGTTGGGTCCTCTTGCTCTGATCAAGTCTCTCATGATGCTGTAATCAAGGCGTTAGGACAGGCAGCATTCTCGTTTGAAGACTGGATGAGTTACGCCTACTTTTAAGCTCACTCAACAAGGTCACTTGTTAGTCTTCTGTTCCTCATAGACCACTGGATCAAGACCTCCTATTTCTCACTGGCTGCTGTCCAAACACCCGAGAAGTCCCCTGCCATGTATCACTTTCTATATGGTTATTCAGCACAGTAGCTGACTACTATCAGTGTGACTAGATGAAAGAACAGGAGAGGTATGCAAGATGGAATCAAGACTTCGAAACTAGTCTTGGAAATAACAGAGCATCACCTTTGCTCCATCCCACTCATTGAGAAAAGCTACTGTGTGCAGCCCCGATTCCTGAATGAATACCAGAGGCAGAGCCCTCTCCGAAGCTGCCTGCCATACTCTCATTAGCTCCCTTCCTAAGCAATATAGTAGAAAGGGCTAGAGTCAGATACTCATTTGGACAAAATACCTTTACCCCTAAGAAAGGGAAAACGGCAGGGTGGGTGGCACACACCTTTAAGCCTAGCACTGGGAGGCAGAGGTAGGTGGCCCAAAGAACACTTCAGCTCTAGAGATAAGTAATATAGTTTTGAGTAAACATGAACCTACTCCTCCTGCCATATAATTCCCTTCTCCCTTTTCTTTCTCCTTCACCCTCCTTTCTCTTTTGACAATTATTCTTTATAGTCCAGACTAGATCTTCCTGTCTCAGCCTCCTAACTGTTGGGGTTTAGGCATGCATCACCACACTCAGTCAAAATTTTCTTTATTGTTATAATTACTCTTTAACAAAGCTATCTGTTGTCCTCAGCTCCACGCAGAGCTACAGCATGGTATGTCTCTGTAAAGTGATCAGCAGTTGCAGCGTGAAAATAAATACCTTAGTCCCAGGGTCACCTCAGGAAGATCCCGCAGGAAAGGAATTTTTTTTCTTTATTGTTAGTCAGTTGTTTGGTTATAAGATAGAATGTGAAAGGGATTTGACCTAGACACTCAAAGTTCTTTTTGTGCATCTTCGGTCTACTCACCAGGATAGCAGTATTACTTATGGAATTAATTAAACGGGATATATTACCTATAAGACCTCTTTCATATGGGAGGACAATAAGCAGGGGCCTATTAGAAAGTCAAATGAGGATTTTCTCCCTTATGGTTCACCTTT